CTCATGATTGACTCTCCAAGATGTGCAAGAAAGAAAAGAGGATGAATGGACTGAAGCTTAATATTTCTGTTAAAAAGGAGCTTTCCCCCAAAAGAAAAGGGGTGAAGTACTGAGTACAAAATGCTAGAATACAGAAATATGACTCCAAGAGGCTGAGGGGCTGTTCAACGGGGACCCTCTTTATCCCTGAGGCCTTAACTTGTTAGCTTTTGTGAGTGAAGGGATTGAAAAGTTTCCTGACCCCCACCACACACACATGCACACACACACACACACACACACACACACACACACACTTTTTCTCAGCTTTCTACCCTTGTATTAAGTAAAAGGTGAAAGATTTATACGATTTAAAGAGAAACCAGAGTATCCCTTGCATTAAGTAACATTAGAACTGGGCAATGGAATAAGCCAAGGGCCAAGTACTCGAATGAAAGTGTGACAACTAGACTACAAATGAGTGAAATGAGACGAATGAATTTGAGTAAGCTCATGATAAATGGAGCAAGCAACTACTCTACCCCGACAGATTATGGTTAAATGAGGAGGGCCCAGCATGCAAGATCGTACAAGGTCATTCCCAATAAGCCATATATGTGATTTTTATGTGAAATCTAGTGACTTGAATCTGTTGACGTCAAATTTAAACAATGTATAAGCCATTCAAAACATTCCAAGGGTCTTTATTCCTCGTATTGCATCTCTTTATTGGGTGATGAATGAAATCTGATGTCATAAGATAACCAAATAAAGTCTGTTTTACTCAGATGGGATCACTGTGATGAAAGAAAACCACAGTAATTTAGTAATGATCAAATAAAGTAGGAAGTGGCCAGGTTTCAAAGTGATAATTTTTATTTTGTTATTTTTATTTTTTAATAAGTGTTTATTAAAAAGCAACTGTATTTCCACTTCATGATGTCGTACCAAAACAAAACACATTGCTTGTAAGAGTATTCAAATTTAAAAGTAATAAATCTCAGCACAAAATTACAAAACCTGTATACTGAAAACTAGAAAGCATTACAGAGAAATTGAAGATTTCAAGAAACATTCTAAGGTGAAACACTAAAGATAACAATTTCCTAAAAACTGTTCTAATAATCTAATTCTAATGAAAATGTAACTTTTTTATTGGCAGGCTTTTCTAAAATTGACATGAAAATCCAAAAGGCTTGAAATCATTAGAACAATTTTGGTTTTTTGTTTGTTTTTTTTTTCCAGTACCAGGAATCGAACTCATGGCCTTGTGCTTGCCAGGCAAGGGCTGTGCCACTGAGCTAAATACCTAGCCCCCACTAGAATAATTTTGAAAAGGAAGAAATACTTTGGAAGGCTAACATACCATTATTTCCAGAATTAATATACATTTCTAATATCTTATTTATTTGTTCAGCTTCTCACACCAGGAAGACAATGTGATGCTTACACATATTACAACCTAGTTGTTCTTTCTTTTAGAGAAGTTTCTTTCCCTTTTGCAATATCTGTTGTACAGTTTGGATCTTACTCTTTCAGTTTCTTACACTAGGGAGACAATATGATGTTTACACATGCATGTCTGATTTATTTCACTTATCAGTGTGGTCTTGAGGTGCATCTATTTACCTGTAAAAGTCTCCAATTTATCCTTTTTAATGGATGAGTGATACTCCAGTGTATAAAAATACCACATCTTTCTATCCATTCCTTGATTGATGGGCATTTGGGTTGTATCTAAGATTTAGCTATGACAAATTGTGCTGCTATAAATATAGGTGCACATATATCGCTTTGGTATGATGTTTTCAAATCTTCTGGAAAAATACCCAGGATGGGAATAGCTGGTTGAATGGGACCTCTAATCTTAGTTTTGTGAGGAATCTCCACACTGATTTGCACAGTGACTGCACCAGTCTACACTCCCACCAGCAGTGGAGAAGTGTTCCTTTTTCCCACAGCCCCTCTGGCATTTGTTATTGGTTGATTTTTGATGATAGCCATTCCTTTTGGAGTGAGATGGAATCACAGTGTTGTTTTAATTTGCATCTCTTGAATGACCAGTGATATTGAACATTTTTTCATATATTTGTTTATTATTTGCATTTCTTTATGTGAGAAGTGTGTAATCACCTCAGCTACCCATTTTTGGATTGGACCTCTGAATTTGGGAGGTCTGACTTTTTTGAGTTTTTTATATGACTTTGATAGTAATCCTTTGTTTGAGGAACAGCTGAAAAACATTTTTTCCCACATTGTGGGTTGTCTTCACTCTGTTGGTGGTTTCTCTTACTGGGAAAAAGCTTTTTAATAAGATGAGAATGTTGATGCTTCCAGTGTGATTGGGGTTTTATTTGTAAACTCTTTGCCTATATCAAGAATTTTACCTATTCTATCTTCCAGCAGATGTAATGTTTCTGTTTTAATGTTTACACTTTGATTCTTTTCAAATTTAGTGTAGTGCATGGTGAAAGATATGGATCCATTTTTAATCTTCGGCAAGTGCAAAGCCAGTTTTTTCAGCACTTTTTATTAAAGAGGCTGTGCTTCTTCCAGTGAATATGTTTGGCCCCTTTTTCACAGATAAGGTCGCTGAGTGTGTTTGGAGTTGTTTCTGGATCTTCTAATCTGTTCTATTGATCCTTATGTCTACTTTTTGTTTTCATTTTTGTTTTTTGTTTTACCAGCAACACACTGCTATTATCACAGTAGCTTTATAGTATAGTTTCAAATCGGGGATTGTGATGCTCCCTACCTTGCCTTTATTACCCAGAAATACTTACGCTATTCCAGGTCTCTTCTAGTTCCAAATGAATTTGAGGATTGTTTTCTCTAATTTTGTGAGATATGCTGTTGGAATTTTGACAGCAATTGCATTAAATCTGCATAAAAGTTTTGGAAGTATGGCCATTTTCACTGTATTAATTCTTCCTACCCAAGAGCAAGGGATATCATTCCATTTTCTGATATTCTCTTCAATCTTTTTCCTTTTTTAATTTTTTTTTTTTTTAACTACAGGTTGAAGATAGCACCTTTGCATTGAGCTATACGCCCAGGCTTATTTATTTATTTATTTATTTATTTATTTATTTATTTATTGAGACAATATCTGGCTAAATAACTAAAGTGAGACTCAAAATTTTGATCCTCTGCCTTACCCTCTCAGAGCGTGAGTGAAGAATTGAATTTGTGTTATCTTGTAAATCTAACAACTCAAGACTAAACCTGTGGGATTGCGAAGTTATAAAAGTAGATCATGCTAGCAAAGCTCCAGAAAATGCTTGCAAGCATTAGCTGACAGGTTTCAAAACAGTTTTAATATTAGTCATTACAGATATGCCTGACAAAAAAAGGGTAGTGTGACAGAACATCTGCCGTGCACATAAATACCCTCTGCTAAGCTAAACTCAAAGAGGAAATCGGCTTCAGAGTTTCACAAAGCAAAGAAGCTGAATGAGCAGTTTCATATTAAGTGGCTGATAAACTTTCTCTGACTATGAAACTCTTCACTGGGGGTTTAGTTAGCTCCCATCATTAGTATGTATTTGTACCTTAGCCTTTTACGACAATGATGTATTCAAAATGTATTTGTGGCCGGATGGTGCATACTTGTAATCTCCAGCACTCAGATGGCTGACGTAGGAGGATCGTTGTGAGTTCCAGACCAGCCTGGGCTACAAAGTGAGCTCAAGTCCAGCCTGAACTGCATAGCAAGACCCATCTCAAAATAAACAGGACCAAGTGCTAGGATTACAGGGATGTACAATAATGCCCAGGTGAAATTGG